TTAACCTGCTACACTTTATAAAGTAGTTGTAACTATTAGTGCCACAAGATATAGGAGCCAATTAAGGCTTAGAGAATTTAAGGGACTTAGCCAAGGTCACACTGTAAATAACCTGTGGACATGAAACTCACATTTACTTCCAAACAAAACAAACAAAACAATTTCAATATTCTCTGAAAGGAGTAACTGTTTGAAGAAAATTTTCACTTGAATGTCAAATATGATTTCTTCAATCCATTTATTGTTAAACTATTATATACTACGAAAATGTATGATACACCAGTAATTCCATCATTAGCCCCTTTAAAATGAAGCATGGTTATCATGAAATCAACCAATAACAAATGCTGGCAGGGCTGTGGAGAAAGAGGAACATTGCTCCACTGCTGGTGGGAGTGTAGACTAGTGCAACCACTGTGGAAATCAGTATGGAGATACCTCAAAGAACTAGGGCTGGAAGTCCCATTTGACCCAGCTATTCCCCTGCTGGGGGTCTTCCCCAAAGAATTAGAAGAATCATACCACAGTGATATATGTGCACCCATGTTCATAGCAGAGTTTGTAATAGCTAAAGCTTGGAAACAGCCCAAATGCCCATCAACTGGAGACTGGATAAAGAACATGTGTGTTTTTTTTTTAATAAAATGGGATACTACTCAGCCATAAAAAATGAGAAATTAGAGACATTTATAGCTAAAAGAATGCACTTTGAGGTGACTCTAAAGTGAAATAAATAGGACACACATGTATAAATACCAAATAGTTTCTCTAGTGTGAGAAACTGAAAGTGTAAATAAGGACTAAAATGTGTAATAGATAATGTGAAATAGGAAGAAAAAGGGCAAAGGGGAAGGGAAAGTTGGAGGGGTAGGGGAAAGGAAAGAAGGGAATGGAATTAATATGAGAAAATTGAAAAATGGAAACAAAGTCTTTGTAAATAGGGAGGGATGGAGGGGTTGAAGGGAGGGCAGGGGAAGGGGGAAAAATAAGAACCAAGAGAGATTATGTAAAGGTGCAAATTTCCAAAGATGAATGTCATTATATTGTATACCTGAAATGTACCGATGATTAGAATGAATTAACTGATAATGTGAAATAGGAAGAAAAGGTCCAAAGGGGTAGGGGTAGTGGGAGGGGCAGGGGGGAGGAAAGAAGGGAAAGGAAAAATGATGAGAAATGGAAAAAATGGAAATAAAGTCTTTGTAAATAGGGAGGGGTGGAGCGGGTGAAGGGAGAGCAAGGAATGGGGAAAAAATAAGAACCAAGATGCATCATGTAAAGGTACAAGTTTCCAATGAGAAATGTAAATGTGTTTTATACCTAAAAGGTACCAATAAAAGAATTTTAAAAAATAAAATAAAATGAAGCATGGTTACATTAATAATGATGCATTACATATTTGGAATTGACTAAGAGAGCAGACTTTAAATCTCACAAAAATAAGCTATGTATGTGAGGTGATAATAGGTCAATTAGCTTGATTGGGTCAATCACTTTCCAATATATAGATATATCAGATAGATATATATGACATTTTGCATTTTAGATATAATTTTACTAGTCAATCATACCTCAATAAAGCTGGAAAAAAGACAAAATAAGTTGTGTCTGTACTAATATGAAAGAAATTAACTCAAGGTGCAGACTGGTATGCATAAAATATACTATTTTATAAATAACAAAAGAATACATATTTATATGCACCTATATGCTATGCATGCACAGAATATTTTAAAAAAGTAAGCCAGAAATTACAACTGTATTTGTCTTTGAGAAAAAAATTGTGAGACTGAGTATAGAGGTGAAAAAAAGATTTATTTTCACTGTAGACCATACTGTCTGAATTTATTTTACCATATGCTTGCCTAAACTGAGAGAGAAAAGAGAGTCATAGAAAGAATCTATAAACTAGTTTTCATCTAATTTGTTAGCTTGACCTCCTAATGCATCTCATTTTCACCTGAAAATTAATTGCTTCCCAAATATACTGAGAATGTTCATGTTGAGTGTGTGTTCATGCGTGTGTGTATGCATGCATGTGTGTGTGTATATACAATGTTCTGTCATCTTGGACTTTTGTGCTTTTTGCCTATAGAAATCCTGCCCCTCAAAAGCTTTTCTGTCCAGCCTCCCTGATGTTTAGTGTTGGGACCAATCACTTTCTCTTTCACTAGGAAACCTTTTCTTCCTCCTGCTTTGAATTATAGTTATGATTATAAGTTTGTCACTTTTTAGTCAGCTTTCCTGTTGCTGGGACAAAATACGTGAAACCACGACTTAAAGATAGAAAGATTCATTTGGTTCAGTGTCAGGGGTCTCAGTGCATGATCAGCAGACTTCGGGGCAGAAACTTTATGGTTGAAGGGCATGGTGTAAGGAAGATTACTCAACTCATGACTCCCGGGAAGCAGAGAGCAAGGAAGAGTACAAGAAGAAGAGGTCAGGGATGAGATGTTTCCCCAAGAATATCCCCAGGACCCACTTTCTCCAATTAGGCCCTATCTTCCAATAGTCACTGTAGCTATGAATTCATTAATGGGTTAACCTATTGATGAGATTAAGGCCCTCACAATCTAATCACTTCTCTAGGAGTCTCTTAATTCAGTCAAATTGACAATAAGTTTAAGTGGCACAAATCCACCCTTTATCAACTTGAAGCTTAATCACATTTTCTTTATCAATATTTAATCTACAAAGAAACTGAAAAACTAACATATGAATGACATCAAGGTCTGCTCCCAGTTCATGTGGTAGCCAGGCCCCCTGGACCATGACCACAGTGGCTTTTGAGTTCCTGGCTGACTGAACATAGCAAAATGAATCTCACAGGGCCAATTGCCTACATGGTTCTTCTTGGAGATGGGGCCCAGGGGATCTCTTCTCAAATGAAAAGTTCACGTTTTGCACCATGGCGTCTGGAATGTTTGAGATCTTGCTGATTTCTGAGTTGTTTTCAAGGCATCTTTCTTCTCATCCCAGCTCAAAGTACTTAGTTTCTTTTTAATGGTACTTTAGCAGCTGCACTTTCTTTGGCTCCAATTTATATGTGCTTCTTTTGTGACCAAATTGCAAGTTTTAAAAATCTTTCTTCTCTATTTTTTGGTCTTGATTTTCACTATAAATCTAGCTAAAAGTAGCCAGCAGTACCCATGACACAGCCTGAATGTTGTGCTGCTCTGGAATTTCTCCTACCAGATCAATGAATGAGGTGCTTTAAACTCAGCCTCACACAAAGTTGTTGGGCATGAACAAAATGTGTCAAATTCTTTGCTGGCATTAACATGAGTGGCCTCAAGTCTAATTTCCAATAGAATATTTATTCCTAATGAAAACCCCATGAGCCTGGCCTTTATTCTCCACATTCTTATCAGGATTCTGGTCTTCTGAGCCCTAACCAGAATCATGCATTATGCACACTCTGCTTATAGATTCAAGGCTTTCTTTACCCTGCTTCTCCAAACTTTTCCAAACTCCTATTGCAGGCTAGTTCCAAAGGCTTCTAAACCACACAATCATGTATAGTCACAGCAATGACCTCACTTCTCAGGTTCCAGGTTTCTATATTGATCTGCTTTCCTCTCACAACTTAAAGGAGGAGAAATTTATTTTGACTCAATAATTTCAAAGGTTTTAATCCATGGTCAGCTGGTTCCAAGGCAGAAACTTCATGGTGGAAGGGTATAGTGGAGGAAAGTTGCTCAACTAATGGCATCCAGGAAGCAGAGAGTAAAGGAAATACCCAAGAGGTAGGGGCTAGAGACCAGAAAGAGTTAGTCTTATGGTTATGGCCCTGTGACCCACTTACCTCAACTAGGCCCCACCTCCTATTACCCCACCCAGCTGTGAATTCATCAGTATTCTAACTCTCACAATGCACTCACAATCCAATCATCTCTCCAGGAATCTCTTAATCCAGTCAAATTGACAATCAAGATTAACTGGTAGCCCCTCACATTAAAATGTCTCCTAAAGATAAGTGTGCATTAGGATGGGGATGTAGCTCAGTGGCATAGCAACTGCCTGGCAAGCTTGAGGTCCTGAGTTTGATCCCCAGTACCAAAAGAAAAAAACGGTAAGTGTGTATTTTCTTGGTTTTTTATGGTCTCCCAAGTAGCTTTGTTAAATACATATTAATTAAAAAATATTAAACAGAAAAGTCATCTGGGGAACGCCGAGTTTTCTATGATGACCAGTTATAGAGGAGCTAGAGAAAAATATCTAGTCCCAATATGTGTCCTCAATATGTGTCCTCACTAGCATAAATATCTAAAGCAGTAAATAAGAACTTCAAAATTAAAAATTAATCCAATACTGCCCATCCAATAGAATTATTACAAGAGATATATGTGAAATGAAATAGGAAGGTACTTTATCTATATTATAGGTAAGAGACAAAGAAAAGAAAAAAATACTTTGTTAATGTGCTAATCCTGATATTTTGTTTCAATTTAAGCCAAATAGACAAAGCCTGGTCACAAAACAGGCAAGCATGAGTTTCATCATGATGCAAGGTACTTCTCAGGCTGGAACTAACAGCATTATCTACTTTTGTTGCCCCCACTGCCTGCCCACAAACACTGAAGATCTACATCAGTGCAAATCACTCTATTTACTTAATCACCACATTCATCTTTAAGCAAAATTTTCCAAATCACACTATAAAACTACAGTGATTTTAAGGTACTTACTTTTTGTTGTCATTTAAACCTATTTCATCTTGTCCTTGGTAATATCAGAGTCCAGTGGGTCATATTACTCCATGTATTCAACTTTCATATGTCCCAAGGCATTTCATGAAAATTGACTATGTCCTACCTTCTATAAACAATTGAATCAATTTCTTTTATGCTTCTAGCATATTGCTATTTTGTTTTAGTCTCTGTAAATAGGCACACTAATGTCAGGCCCAATCAATTTCTGTTGACTTTATAATCACACACAAAATAATATTATAAAATAATAATTACAATTGCAAAGATTACAAGTTTACTCCAACTTACTGTTAATGCAGTTTCATATTCTTCAGCAGCCAAGTGTGCTAAGCCCAAGTAATAGGAGGCTTCTCCTTCCATCTTTTTGTCTCTTCCTGAAGAAGATACAGAACTATTAGGAGAATATTAAAGAGACTGACTTCTCACAACAGAAGCTTTGTCTTTAAAGACACTATAAAGTTATTTTTAAAAGTATGTAACTTTACTAATGAATGATCCCCAAAACCTAAACGTGCTCTGGAAAGAAGGACTGGTGTAATACAATTCACCTGGTTCCCAGATGTTAGAGTAAATGTATATCAGCAACATGCTTCTGAGAGGCTTTTTCCTTTGTACACAAATTCAACGACATATAAAAAGAATTATATACCATAATCAAGTGCGATTTATCCCAGGAATGCACGATTGGTTCAACATGTGCAAATCATACAATAGGAATAGAAGGATGGACAAAAAAAAAACATGATCATCTCAACAGATGCAAATTTTTTAAAAATCCAACTTCCTTTCATTCTAAAATTCCTCAGCAAACTTGGAGTGATATAAGGAAATTTCCTCAACATGTTAGTGGGCATCTAAAAAAAACCCTCTGAGCTAAAATCAGTCTTAATAGTGGAAGATCAAAAAATAATTGAGATCCTGGATTAGCCAGTCTCCTTAGTTCTGATATGGAATGCACAAAAATAGATAAACAGGACTTCATCAAAATTAAAAACCTGTGCTTCAATGTATACCATTAGAAAGTGAAAACATACAGAATGGGAGAAAATATTTGCAAAGTATATATCTGATAAAAAAAAAACCTTGCATCTGTAATATATAAAGAATTCTAACAATTCAATTGGACAACCCACATAAAAATGGGCAAAGAATCTGAACAGATATTTCTGCACAGAAGATACATAAATGGCCAATAAACACTTGAAAAATGTTCAACATCATCAGACAATAGGGAAATGCAAATCAAAACTACATTGAGAGACTGCTTTACACCTACTAAGATGACTATAATCAAAAGGATGCAAGTAACAATGGCTGGAGAGGACATGGCTAATTTGAAATCCTCCTACACTGTGGAAGGAAATGTTAAATGGAGCAGTCCCTTTGGTAAAATTAGCAGTTCCTCAATAAGTTTAACCCTGAGTTATCATTTAAACCAGCAGTTTCACTCCTGGGTATACACTGAAAAGTACTGAAAACTTGTAAAAAATCTTCACTGCAGCATTGTTCATCATAGGACAGAAAGTGGAGAAAACTGAAAAGGACAGCAACCGGTGACTGGATAAAGAAATGTGCTAAAACCAAACAATGGGATATTTGCCCTTAAAAATGAATCAAGTCATGATACATGTTATAAGATGAATGAACTTTGCATGTAAGTGAAAGCATATTTGGCTGATGATCTCCATGCACATTACATCAAGGTGCTGTAGCCAAGGAATTGGCCTAGAATGGGTCCCAGTGCCCCTTCAATATCAAGTAAACCAGTGTGGGAGGCAACCTTTTCTAGGCAATCAGTAGAGGCCACTTCAGGCCCTCTGACCAAAGTAGGAGACAACAAGAAGGGATATTTTGCCCCAGAGTATTTCATCTGCTGTAAGAGCTCTGTAAAGTCTTGAGTAATACTTTAATCTGTATGCTTTCTTATATGAAAAATGTGGGGCTAAATATTTATTGGTTTTGAAAGATATTAACAATTATTACAGCATAAGAAGAGAATCTCTCCTGTCCCCTTTGGAAACGGAAAAATGGTCTCTTAAAGAAGACAACTTGGTAGCCTCTGGTTGCTGGAAGAGACCTAAGTTATCTTCTTTTCTTTGTGAAATATAAATATTTCCTTGCAAATACGAAACTAAACTGAAATGTCTTTTCCTAGTACACATTCACTTACGTTGAAATTTTCATGTAACTTTCCATGTGACTTGTTTGCTACTGAAATTGATCTAATAGTTAGCAATTTATATCAGTGTTTACCTCTTCAGAGAAAGTACTAGATCATCATTTATTTAAAAGCAGTTCATAATAAGATACATCTTTCAAAGAGGGTGGCTTCCGAAGAATATTTCAACTAATATTATTAAAAGAAGTAACAGAGAAAATACGCTGTTTACCTTTACTTTTTAGTAATTTCAAATCGCATCCAGAAAAATCAGTCTTGTTTACTTTAAGTAAGCCATGGGTTCGTTAATAAGCCAATCAATTAATGACATTCATGCCCTAATTAAACTTCAAATGGGTGACTTCTTTATCTTCTTCATGAAAAGGATATTAATAAACTACAACATGGGAATAAATTATCCTTGCATTTCATAAGTTAAAGGCTTATAAGAATATGCTCCAAAAAAAGAATATGTTCCAAAATTTTCCCTCATATTTTTATATTCAAGGATAATATAGAATATTGTGAGCAGCTTTTACAAAAGTGCTTTTCCTGCTGCTTGCATAGGTATGAATCACCTAGAGATCTTGCTAACCTGCAGATTTTGATGTAGACAGTCTGTCTGGGGTGAGACTCAGGATGCCAACATTTTTTAACATGTTTCCTGGCAGTGCTGATGGTTTTGCTCTACGGGCTGCATTTTGAGGGGCAAAGGTCTAAAACGTATTCCAGTCCTATTTTCTGCTACTCCTAAGTAAATATTTGTATTTTCCCAATTATCTGATAATAGGGAATTTATAAACAATGAAAGATCTCTTAGATTGTAAGAAATATACAATCTCTAATACACACACACACACACACACACACACACACACTCTCAACTTTTGCTGATGACCTTATCTTCTCATCATAGATCCCTTGTTTTACAACAATACCCCTAGTGGATTGTAATTTTGGAGATAAAGCTTTCAAGATACTAATGGATTTCTTCTTGTCAGCACTAAGGCACCTCTGTTTCACAGTGAAATTTGAAAAGTATATTGATGGCATTTGTCTTTGCATTTCATAGGAAATTATCACCCTAACACTTGACGATTTTTACTTTCCTCTTGGGAGAAGCAGTGTCTGTCCATTAAAGAAAGCAAGGCGAGAGTGTTCTTTTCCACCCACCTTCTTTGGCTATTTCAGAAGCTTTTATTAGAATTTTGATGGCCTGTTCGTATTCTTTATTTTCCAGCATTTTGTCTGAGAGTAATCTGTAAGTCCTCAGGAGACTTTCACAGGCCAACAAGTTGAGAAAGCGGCCTGTCTCATCCTTCCATATCCGCCCCTGTGTCAATTGATGGAATGCTTCATAATGCTCGGCAGCCTCCAGAAGCTGATCTGAAGAATAAAAGCCATTCATAAATATAAACCACAGTCCAGAACATGTTTTCAAAAACCTTGTGTATATCTTAGCTTTACTATTAAAGGGGGAAACACCATGGAATACAGTGAAAAATTTCTAAGGCTGAAAGGAGTTAAGCTGGGAAAGGGACTATCTCTAACTGGACCACAGATTCACCCTTAATTCTGGATGGACATTTGCAAGAGGGTTGCACTTCAGTTAGGAGAGATCGACTGGGATTGTGAAGTTTTGAGACACTCTGAAAGCTAATTAATAGCAAACATATTGGTGAATATTAAACATCATGTATCCAAGGCTTTGCACTGTGTTTTATTTACATTTCACGTTTAATCCCTGAAAGTCCAATGGAATGGGACTGTTATGATTCCATCTTATAGACGAGAACGCCGAGGCCTCGTGAGGCTAAGAATTTTGCTCAAGACTGCATGTGGAGTGAATGGTATGTCCAGGAAGTCTTCTTCAAGGCTCAAGCTCTCAAGCATTATCTTCCAGTGCTCTCCAAAGGGATGGCAATTTCTTCATTCTGAAGAAGAATTTAAGTATACTGAAAAAAATGTATCTTTTACAAAGTTCAAGTCCAAATATTATGGATCTTTAAACTGCTTCTCAAAGTTTGAGAAGAACATTTGTATATGTTTAATTTTGAATGCAGTATAGTTTGTGTCTTTTTGGATGATACTGCATGGTATAGTCCAAAACGTACCTTCTCAAAGTAAAAGTCTGAATTAGCCATAAGTCATTTCATTCCTTAAAATATGAGCTAACACATTTTTGGAAGGGTAGTTTTTAGTTCCATGTTGTGTATTTTACTTGTTGATTGCCTTGTGCAAATGCTCACAATATCCTTCAATGTAAATACTCTTCAATGGTATTGTAGTTACATCATTGGATTTAACTGCAAAAAGACTTAGTGGCACTCCAAATATAGCAATTAAGAGTGAAGTCAGGCTTCAAGGTGACAGGCTGTTCTCATCCTGGCTTCATTATGTTTTGGTTAGCCAGAGGCTTTTTACTGTGCTCTGTACTTGGTTAATTCTTCTGTGAAATAGCACTATAGGTAACTACTGAAAGAACCATGTGAGAAATAAGTGCATGTGTTCAATGTGTTTACAGAGTTAGGGCTCAATAATCCTAGCTAATGCTATCAGTTGCTTTAGTGAGAATATTTCTAAAATATCTGATAGTTGAAATAAAACCACTGTTTGCATTCTTCAAATCTAACTTCCTTTTCCCGCAAAAAAACAATTACTTGAGACTTTATAATATTATCATGACTGATCAAACTAACCTTTGCAAGTCATATGAGGCTAAATATATTTCCTCAAAGATGTTTCACTGACTAGTAATGTAGCTTGGAGCTGTAGCTATGATTATTACATATAATTCCTACTTGCACTGAACTTGTCATTAAAATCGGTATTAAAGAATCTGCACACAAACAACATTAATATCCTGAAAGAAAGACAACCAAACATGGTGGATCATTAGCAATCAATCTGTACAAAAATTCAGTAAAGTTAGAGCTGGTCTGAATTATTACTGTGCCTCCCTAGAGAGCATGCCAGAGAAGATACCTACAGAGGGAACAATGGATACTGCAGAGTTGTTTATTTATTTACTCTTAAATTCTTTTATTGGTACATTTTAGGTATACAATACATTTGCATTTATCATTGGGTGCTTGTACCTGCACATGATGTATCTTGGTTCCTATTTTTTCCCCATTACTGGTGCGCCCTTCATCCCCTCCACCCTTCCCTATTTACATAGACTTCATTTCCATTTTTTTCTTTTCTCATGATTTTCCCTTTCCCTCTTTCCTTTCTACTTCCCCTCCCACCACCTCAGAGTTGTTTATAAACTTATGAAACTTTCACATAATAAAAGACTACAAAATCATACATTTGCTGTTACAGAAGCTATTTCATTACGTGGACAGGTTTAGGATAAGTGAATATATTGGAAAACATCAGGAAACGTGTACAAAACATTACCTCTGAGAGGTAAGATGAGGGTTGAAGGATGGTTTCTTTTCTGATTTTCTTTTGCTTAATTTTGTTTTTGCATATTGACATTTTCTAAGGTTTCTTTTATCAAAATATGTTTGTTTTCTACTAATAAATATACAATGAAAGTTATTTTAAGGAGAATGTCCAATCCCTATTTTAACTTTGTACAAATGCCCAAGGTTGATGTTCACTGCTCTAATCTATCTTTACTTTCAGCTGACAGCTTTTTCTTACCTCTGACAAAAGCAGGTATAGTTTTTCATCCCTCTCCTGTAGTACCTCTCTCCAGAAACACCTCCTCCAAATACCCACGACCCTCATTTTTTAAAATGAGAATGGACCACTGACATATATGTGTGTTATGTTTCCTCTGTCAACTATATTTCTGCCTACAAAGTATAGCTCTGTATCCCTGGAAAGATGTATGCAAGCGTTCTTTTTTCCTCCAGGATCCACCTATTCATAAAGTATAGACACATACTTCTTTGGGGTCATGTGATTAGGGAACAGTGAAGAAAGGAAATTGTGAGGAAACTAGGTAGTTCTAGGAATAAAGGGGGTGGAGAGGCTGTAAAAGAGAAGCTCTAGATAACCCAGTTATTTAGCTTTAGATGTAAATTAAACAGAATAGTGGAAAGAGTAAAGGAGAACTGATATCCATACCCACAATTTTCTCTAAAAGGAAAGGTGAAGGGAATGGAGGGAATCGAAGGTGGGAAGAAGGATGTAGAGAGGTGGGGACACTGTCTGTTTGTTCCCTGTGGGCCAGATCTCCCTCTGTCACTGAGTCTTGTGGCTGTTAGGTTTCCTTGACAGGCTGTCTGAGGAGGGATGAAGTAAGACAGGCACAGAAGGTCACAGGTTTCAGTTGGTTACTACGGAGGGTGATCTTGAGATAATTAAATATAGTCTTTTTGGTTGAATCTGATTTTTTGCTAGGGTTGGGGGGCTAGCATCAGTGTACTGCTCAGCTCTTGATTACTGGCCAAGGTTCAGCTCTCAAACACTCTACTTGAGTCTCTTGTGAGGAAGGAGCCCGGCATGCTGGGAATTCATCTTTCCTGAAGGGCTGCTAGGCAGTGGCCAAAACAGAAGCTCTCTTCCCCGTGCACTATCTTATTTAGCCTTCCCCAGACTGCTGAGGTAGCTTGAGTTTACTGAAGAGCAAGCTGAGGCTCATAAAATTAAATGACTCAAACATATAAGCCAGACTTAAAATACACACAACTAGTTCTACTGTGCTACTCAACAAACCAAGACTCGGGAAGCTTAGGTGGTACAAGTTAAATTCTCTGGACAAGAGCCTCTTGTGCTTAAAAACAATTCTTGAGTTAATGATTTCTCATCACTTCCATTATTTTAATTCTGTGACTCTATGCAGGCTGTCACAGGTGACCTCTTATAAAGATTCAGACACTACCTCCTCATGTGCTTCTGATGGTCCTTTCTGAAGGACTCTGTACAAAGAGCTATATCTGCACTCCCTGCTTTCCTCCAACCAGTGTGGTGACATCTCTGGCCACCTGGGTTTCCTTGGGAATTACAGATTTAGTCATGCAGAGTTGGCTGTCCATTTTTTTTCACCACCTTGCCAAAGATGAGGTCACTGGGCTTCTGGTCAGTACTGCCTTGAAAGGAAATTTCTATACAGAAGTAGAGTTTTCCAGTCCTTCTCATCTGTAGGAATTCATTTCTTAAAATTATTTGGTGGTATGTATAAAACAGCAAGGATTTGATCCACATGACTATAAGTTCTCAAATGACTTGGCTTATGCTTTCTAAAAGCTAATCAGAATTTGAAAGCACATATTATGAGTAGTATATTTGTTCAATAATACTAAGATATGTTTGTTGTATAAAGAGAAGTAATTTGAATATGCAAGTAATTTAAATATGCAAGTAATCCCTTTAAGCATGACTAACAATGGTACGATTTCTATTTGATTTCTAATTCCAGCTGTTACTAGGACCTTAACAATGATCTTACTTTCTTAGTAAAGGCCCTGATGTTAATTGAGTAGACACTTACTGAGACATAATACGTAGTGCTTTTATCTGAAAATTTTGAATTCAATATTACTGAGAGGAATATTGTAAAAGATCATAATAGAGCAGTCATTTTGACAAAGCTAAAGGTAAATATCAATGAAGACAATGTATGAGATTTTCAAATTTGAGACTTCTTCAAAGTCTGTTCCCAAATAAACTTTACCGTACAGAACCTGGCAAGATTTCTTGATCCTACTATCAATCTTTTAGGAGGACAAGGACATAATTTTAGTCCAAGGGTCCAGGGACTGTCCTCTTCTGGAATTATCAGTGTTGACATTATTTTCTACTCATGAGGTGGGGCAGAGGGAAGCAGAGATTTTACACTGAGGTATCACAAAAGTAAAACTTAAGCAGAATGGAAAAGAGAAGTCATAAGGAGTATCTATGCACCTTAGAGGTCTCGGTTGTGCTTGGGATCACTTTGAGCATGTCTTTGTCATCACTGTGAGTGCCTAAGATCTCAGTACTCAACATGGACGGGGACACACAGAAACTATTGCCAAACCAAGTGCAACTAAGTTAGAGGTTTTATACCAAGCGAATATCCAGATAGGCTGCAAATATTTTATGTAAATCAGGGAAAAATACAGAGTTAAATGATTCTCTGGGCTGGGGTTAGCCCTCCATAGATACCAGCAGGATTTAGGTTATTGAAGTGATATGAAATAGTTTCAGAAAATACATTTTAGGACAATACCGCGAATAGTTTTGTGGAACAAGAGCATACAGATACAGATAAAGGTAGCCTAAGCCTCAATTTTATTATTTAACAATTACATGACATTTACATGAACATTGAAGAATCTGGCATACAGTTATAGTTTTTCACTTAAAGGAAAGTCTATTTTTAAAATAAGACTACTACAAGTGAGTTTCACTTTGTTGAAAGCTCACACAAACAATAAATCCATCCA